GAACATGTCCTTTACAAGAGAGAAAGTTGGCCTTCAAAATGCCTAGACAAGGTAGCCAAGATGGTGTAGGCGGGAGAGGCAATGGGAGAACCAGGCCCCAAGCTTTCTGCTTCCTGAGACCCTCAGCCCATGTGGAGGGAAAGTGGATCTGTGTGACTCTTCTTTGTACCTGTATTCCTCAGGGTATAATTAGCTCAAAACTCATAAAATATGCCTTTTTTCTTCAAAATTAGAGTGCATGTGCTGCCCAGTGTGGCAATAATTTCTTTAGAATGCAAAACCTAAATGGAAACACATCATTTCCTGTCTAGTCACCCATCAAGGTCCTGGACTAATTTAGGAATTTCCAATGCAATTCCCAGCAGATCCTTAGCAGGGTGGCTTGTGTGATTCATACAGCTAAGATCACATCTAGCGACTGTTTTCATAAGAGATCAAAAATCGTGTTGGAATTGGATGGTAAGGGATTGCTTGCAGGTGTTCGCTGTGGACTCATTTCTACAATCATGCTGTCGCTTTAAGGCAGAGTTTATGTTTTACAGTAGCTTAGGGTCCTTGTACTAAATTTGATTATAATCTCAAAAGTGAACTATTAGCCATTTTATATTAAATATCCTAGTATCTAAACTTAATCATGCTAGATATACGAGAAATCAAAACTCTAAGCCTTAATAATCACTAAAATTTAGTAATCCCAGAATCTGCATTCTGTAATATATTTTTTGTCTTTACTTTGTATTTAATGGAAACAGTGTTATTTAATCAAAATTATATAATAAAGGCAGAAGCAGTTCAAGTTGGATGTTTGCTTCCTATGTAGAGCTCTATGCATTCAGAAGTTTTAAACATGACAGCAAATATGAATCTCTTAAGACATAATTTCTAATGACTCAGAGATAAACATAAACTCAGGTTTTGTTTTGTGTTGTAGGTGTGTACGTTAAGCTTTAGAAAATCAGTGTATAGCTCATCAGCCAAAATTCTAGCAAAGATAATTTGGCTGTCTATAAGAGGTATAAACAAGGTAATTGAAATGAGATAAAAGATAATTGGAAAAGGAATGTGCTAAAATGTGGAATTTGGCTTCCTAAGCAGGAAAAAAAAAAAAATGTGCTTTCAGCTGCCCCCCGCGGTACACAGGCCAACGGAATGTTATTCCCTAGCGCTGTGGTGATTTACCTGAAGCGCGGCACGAAGCACTGTGCAGGAGCTGCCTGCTCCACACCAAGGACTCCGAAATTAATCATTAGAGGATTAAGTAAGATCAACATAAACAAATACCAAACATGGAAGATTTACTTCCGTGGCATGTATTCTCTTTTTGAGCCTCCAAAAGAGGAGACCAAATTGCATGCGAAGGTCTGCATTGAGCATTTTTGTCAATTCACTCAGCATTGTTGAAGAAAAAGTGGGCCATTGACCCAGAATTTTAATCTAAGGCTGTTGTTCCCGAGGTCTGCGTTTGAAGGGCAGGAGCAGGGTACTGTGTTCAGCAGGGGGAGGCCGCAGGCCACTGTCCTGCGCCGCGGTCCCTCCACTCCCCGGCTGTCTCCGCACGCGAGAAGCCTGGAACCAGCCGGGGCTGCAGCCCGGGAGGACACGCGGGACGCTCGCTCGTGTGGGAAGTGAGGATCCGAGCCTCGGAGCTCAGTCACCCGCTGAGCGGCGGGTCTCCTCCCTCCTGTCCTCTGTGATTTCCTCGTGGAGTCCCAAAGTCGTAGGAGCTGCGAGGACCCTGCTGCGTGCGGACCGCGCCAGGGCCTGGGAAAGCGCGCACGATGCTTCAACGTGCATGCTGAGAATAAAAGCGTTTTGCATTGCAGCGCTTATTTAATCATTATATGTATCAAGAAGAGATTCCTAATTATATCTGAGGAAATACTAATATCTCATCAGTTGTCTATGACTGCTGTAACAAACTGCCTTAAACTGATTTGAAATGGAGGGAACACACAGTATGTCCCGGGTAGGACGCGTCCCGGGATGGAACGAGGAGAGAGGCGGCTGCTGGGGGGCAAGGGAGGAGCTCCCCAGGAGCCTCCGCAGGGCGCGTCAGCGATCGCAGGGTGGACATACGGGCACCGGAGGCGCTGGTTTTGGTGTTGCCGTCACCACTTCGTATTCTTGTGTTCAAAGAACTTTGTGAGATTTTCGTGTTTTAAGTGGAAAGTTTTGAGGACTAAATCTGTTGCGATGCATTGAAAATCACATTGACATTAAAATTGTACAGTAATAATACTGAGATTTCATATTGGCAGTATGCCCATTTATTAGTTTAGTAAGGCGTCTTTAGTTTACCAAGATGTTCTTATTTAACAACTGACTATGGTCTCTCCTTCTATCCTATAGGATAGACACGCTGTTCAATGCTTTTTAAGCATTGCTTTTATTTTTAAAATGAATTTCATTATGGAGCTTTTGGAGTGAAAGTGTGCCTGTTTGATACATTTATCTGAAAACAGAACACAGAATCGTGATTAGCTTTTTATATTATGTACAATCTATACTGAGAAATAAAAACGTCGCATTCCCCAAATGAAAACTGCCATTATCCTTATCCAAGAATGCGTATTATTGATTATGTTTTCTCTTCAGATAAATTTACAAAGGAAAATGAGAGTCACTGGGGTGATTACCCAAGGAGCCAAGAGAATCGGGAGCCCAGAGTATATAAAGTCCTACAAAATTGCCTACAGCAACGACGGGAAGACGTGGGCCATGTACAAAGCGAAGGGGACCAGCGAAGACAGGGTGAGCCTGGGAGCCTGCTGGAGGAGAGGGAGGTGTCTCAGGATGCTCCTGCGCTTGCATGCTGCGGCTGAGCCTTGGGGAAGGCCTCACGCAGAAAGCCTCCCACTTCCAAAGCATCATTATTCTCTTGACAATAGGCCTCTGGAACGAAGGGTGTAGGACTTTCTCTAAGTGAAAATTTAGAATGGCAGCCACTTTTAAGGTTTTCTAGAATGCTAGGTGATGTCCCTACCAATACTTTGGCATAAAATAGTAGAATATTAATGAGTGACAACTATGCTTTACACTAACCACGGTCAGCTTTTAATTTCATCCTCATTGCTTCTGTACACACTGGTGCTCTCCTTCATCAAGTAAGTACTGACCAACAGGATTTTTCTGAAAACTAGAAAAACACCACCAAGTGATAGAATGTTTATATGTTTATACACTTCATCTTGGGAAAGTGTATTTTTGTCATTTTACAGAAAATATATTTTTGAGGAAATGGATATAATATGTGATATCTCCTTTAATTTTTCTTATGATTTTCAGAATTTTAAGATTAATTCATCCTAAAAATGTTAATTTAAAAAATCTCATGAGTGCAGTTCTTCCTATGCAAAACCAAACAAGGAATTAAATGCAAGATGTTCACAATCAACCTCTTCAGTTGATTTAAACAAGATTTTCTTTTTATTAGGTTACAGAAAGGTAAAATGAGAATGAGATTTAATGGATTTGACACTTTTTAGTAATTTTCTTAGAAGGAAACATAATGTTTTACTGGATAATAAATATAATTATAATTCTCTTATCCAATCATCTGGATCTTATTGTGAAGATCCAATCCTGACCAGTCAGACCACAAGTTGTCATGTCTGATTGTAGCATTAGAGACACAGAGGGACCAAGAAGGACTAGTGAAAAGTTTGTCCTTCCAAAGTAAAAGTTGAAGTACTGAGTTATAAAATAAAAAAACCAATATACATTAAGTTGAAGCATTTAAGGATCCCAGAAAAGTATTCCACTGACTCTGAAGACTTGGCTTCAAAATTGCTCAAGTGATCATAGTGAAATATAGTTTATGTCATAAACCAGAGTGTTTTATGGTTTTAATTAGGATTTCACTTATGGGTTTTATATCCGTTGGTGATAGCTAGGTCCTTCCATAAGTACTCCAGGCCCCCAAATTATTTAATATAGTCTTTGAAGTATTGTGGCATAAGGTATAGGATCAGTGTATCAAAGTAAAGAAGCCATGCTAGCTCATAATGCAAAGGTCTGGATTCCGTCTTGACCCAGGTGTTCCGTGGAAATGTGGACAACAACACGCCTTATGCGAACTCGTTCACGCCACCCATCAAAGCCCAATACGTGAGACTGTATCCCCAGGTGTGTCGGAGGCACTGCACTTTGCGGATGGAACTTCTGGGCTGCGAACTGTCAGGTGAGCCTCATGCCATCTATTTTTGTAAGGTCTTAAAAAAAAATCAGAAGTACGCTTGGTGAAGTTCGCCACTAACCTGCAGATTTTCAACACTCATAGAAATTCATTGCTGTTATAAAATATCAAGGGCATGGTTTAGTAAGAAATAGTTCATTTTTACTTGTGCATAGCAAATAAACAACGAGTAAAAACATGCTACAGAATAGAATTAATTTAGAAAGGGCAGTGTTTCTTATTGGATGGTCAAAATCAGTGCAAGAAATTCCCATGGGAAGCTCATCAAAGCTGGATATGCCTGCTTGTTTGTTGTAGTACCTAGGACTTACATGTTTTGACAAACCTCAGTAAAAAATGGAATCTGTCTGACTGCCTATATTTAGACTGTTGGACCCAGAAAAAGTGATGCATGTCTTTACCTATCTACCACAAGTGAACTCGTTAAGAACTCTTTTTTTTCTTAACACTTTTGTGAAATTTGCAAATTTATCATCCCACCCTAGGGAACAATATTTCAATACCAAGATGGGTATTTAAGGGGCCAGGGAGATGGCTCAGTAGAATAAGTGCTTGCCTGGCAAGCCCAAAGGTCTGAGTTCAAATCCCTGGTTCCGGGAAAAAAAAATATGGGTGCTTAATTCATTCTTGGGTCCTGCTTAGCAGGAAAACTGCCTACTGTGCAAACTCTGGTTGCCCAGCCCAAGGACAGTCCAGCAGAGCACCCCGTGCTAAGAAGTCCTTGTCCTGCAAGCGTCCTGATGCTGGGTCCAGAGATGAAGATCTAGGGAGCGGACCTCTCAGTCCTCCCATTTCTGTTCTGAGATAAATAGAAAATTTCCCCTAGGTGTTTCACACTGACTCACTTGGTTGGTAATTCTTGTATTGCCAGCATCAAATTTTACCTATTTTTGTCACAAAAACCCAGAGAAAACAGAAATTTCATGCACAGCCATTTTCTAACTATAGACTTAAAATATGGAAAATACCTTTGCTAAACTTAAAACAATGACTTTTCTCCAAACTGATGCAAAATATTTATTCCAAATTATTTTATGCACTAGTTTTTCCCTCAATATATTCATGCTAGCCACATCTTTTTAGACTGCAAATAATGTCATCAAAATCATCTTAGTTTTTGGAATATCACAAAAATTTATATTTTACAATCCATTCGCTGCAAGAATAACACACAAGGTCCGTGCAAACAGGTGTCTGGGAGGTTTAAACTCATAGGTTAAACTCTGTTCTCTGTATCTGACTTTTCTCCTTAGACTTGTTTGTGATACCTAGAACAAAGGATATTTAGGGAAATAAAGAGCAGCTTTAAAAATAGCTAATCTCAGAGAACCCACAGAAATATATGAGTGATTTGGTCAGGAGAGTGAGTCTATTTTTAAGACTCATTTTGATTCTCCCTTATACGTTTTGGGAAGCAAACACACGGTGTTAGTGGCATTCATTACGCAAACTGATCTCTTCCCTGTTTTCGTCGTTTGAGCTGGTTTATTGATTTGTGCGAATCTCGGAAGAATTATTACCGTACAACGATGACACTGCAGGTCGCTGTACCACCCCAGGCCACTGCCGTCCTGAAGCCATTCATCATAAAGCAATCACGAGGAGGTCGCCACATGACGAGACGCGCCGTCAGCCCGTGGGTTAGTTGCTTAACATCCCCGTTGCCGATTTTTCAGTCTCTGATTCATGGGCACCAGCCTCCCCTACGTGGTGCAGCTACACCCCTAAGGTGTAAATATATTTTCCTTTTGAGTTTGACGAGAGGTTACACCTGACAATTTACAGATTTTATCTTCTCAAAAAGAAGCAGTGCTCCATCTCTCAACCCTGCAAATTGATTTTCAACTTACATTCAGAGAATATTTCTCCATGGTAGATTTTAAAAATAGAGAATTGCATTATAGAAATAATCAGCTTAGGTCTTGGGACTCCATTTTCTTCAGGAGTTGTCCACACTGGCCAAAGAAGTAAGTAACTTAAATGCATGGATGCCGCGGAAGAGAAGGGAACTGTGACATGTGACGCGCCAGGAAGAGAAGTTCACGATATCGCTCGGAAGTAGTGAAAAAGTCCCAAACTATTTCCTGAAGTTGAATACAGCATTCTAATGCGCTGCCTGCTCTGTCATTTCAAGGAACAGATAGGAGATTTTTAAGCATGACTAGAAATAAGATCAGCAGTTAATACCTTCCCAGACACTTTGAAAGAATGTTTCCAAATCATCTAAAATAGACACAGCTTACTATGGTTTGATTGAAATAGTACATAACCATAATTAGAATAATTATGAACAAAGAATTGAACAAATAATTTGAACAAATAATTCCTCATATTTCTTCTTCACTAAGCAGTGAACAATTGAATGGATATGAAATGAATTTTATGATACACCCGCAGCAGCCCAGAACATCCTGGTATCCAGTATTGTGTTATGTTGCAAGAGGGACAGAAGGACGGCCTTCTTTTTTCTTACATCTCTTCCACAAATGAGGCAAAGTTATAGAGAGACTTGGGAACAGCAAGGAAAGGGTAGGGAAGAGGGATAGGTTAACATGTCTCATGCAGTCAGAACTCATTACCCTAGAACTTCCCAGAGATAAACAGCCAGCCTGTGCCTGCTGATCAGCTTACGGTTCTTGAGATATATACGTGGTTGTTTACTCGCTCAGACTTTGCATCTAGACTTGAGGGCTGTTTTTATCATGCGCTTGGCATGTATATCTTCTCTTCTCAAGAAAACATGTGGTAAGACAACAACCCTTCCTGACATCTTTTGCCATAATTTAAAGAAAAAGTACCCCATGGTGGTATGGGGAGGGGAGAGGACAAATATGGCTGAGCCTCAGGAAGCAAGGAATGGTGGAGCAGAGCAGAAGGAAGTCACCAGAGTAAGAGTGATAAGTGACCAATTCTAAAGCACTTTTCTTCTAGCCTTGACTAAAACGAGTCCTCTTTAGCAACTGCCCCCATCAAAGGATGTTCCTGTGTACTCGCAGATATGCTACTAGTTGGTGGCTTCATCCTGCTTCCTTTCGGGGTCAGTTTTATTAAATAATCAAGCTGTTGAAAACTTCCTGGATGCTAACTGCTCCAGTAAGCTTTAAAAATATTTCATTAAGGAAGTTTTCAACGGATAGTATCCTTCCCTTTATTTCTGTCTTGCTTAATTTTTTTCAGCACAATTTTGCAGTCTTGTTTGTTAGTACATATCTGTAGTACACAATGGCTGCATTTGTCGTGGGGAGCTGACACATGCACATAACACATCCTGCTGTGTCCTTGTTCCCTTCCCATCTCTCCCTCCTGCTATCTCCCCACCTCTTAGTCCCCCTCACTTTTGCAAAAGAAGTAACCTCATAGAACATTTCTTAGAGGAAGTTTGTATTGTTATCACCATTTTACAGATGAGAAAACTGAGGCCAAAAGTAATAGGTATAAGGCCATGCAACCAGGAGAGGGGACCCAATGGAAAGTGAGGAGCACAGAATTAAAGAAATTCATGCTTAATCTCTGCTTCTTGCCTGACCAAACTCATCGTACCTTGCAAGCTTCTTGGTCACAATGTGGTGGATTTTATATAAAGAAGGTTCAGTCCTGTGCTGGCTTCATAATAGGATCAGACTTTGTATTACAAACTTTGTAAATTATATATATATATATATATATATATATATATATATATATATATAATGTTTATACTTGTACTCAGTGGCAGACAAATCCAAATTCTGCATTATATCAAGCTTGGAAATAGATGCAGTAGATTTGAGACTCTTTCACGAAGAGTCAAACACAAAGGTTACTGAATCTAATTAAAATAAAAGACTGTACTAGAAGATCTGTCTAGCAGTGCGTTCTCCCAGCACTGGTTTCTCCTGTTGCCCAGCAGCTGATGTTCTGCGTGTGCTCCGAGCCTGCGGTGTGCTTCGTGCCGACTCGGGCTTAGTTTCCTGCTTTTTGCAAGCATCCATATCGCTGCAGCCAGAATCAGTGATAAAGATTAGCACATATTTCTTAGACAACAAACTGCTGTCCAGTTTAGAATATAACAGAGGAGCAATTTCTGAAGATAGCTTTGTACTGAGGGAATTTTCATTTGCAGGATTATGAAAACAAATAAAAAACACCAAATAGGCTTTATGAGAAAATGTCCCATTTTTTAAAGACACAATGAAACTGTTGAAAAGCAAAGAACACTTATGAGGCATCTGGTAATGAGGCAGGAGAGAGTTTTTCTATATGGTTTTCATTTTGCAAAATCATCTATCAAAAGAAAATAGTTTAAATTGTCTGTATTGTTTTCAATGTTTCCAAAATAGCTTCACACACAGAGGCCTGAATTGGCTATCTTATTTTTCTATTTTCTTCTTTCTGATTGCAGCCTCTTCTTTTGAATTTAGATGCTCTCTCTTTTGGGGGGATGGAGAGTATTCGGTTTCAGTTTCTCTTGCTTATCCTGAATGAGCATAGAGAGTTTCCGGGATGATAAATTATTTTTCTCATGGAGCTTTTCATTTCCTTTCAGGCTGCTCAGAGCCTTTGGGAATGAAAACAGGACACATCCAAGACTACCAGATCACAGCCTCTAGCATCTTCAGGACCCTCAACATGGACATGTTCACCTGGGAGCCCCGGAAGGCCCGGCTGGACAAGCAGGGCAAGGTGAATGCGTGGACCTCTGGCCACAACGACCAGTCTCAGTGGCTGCAGGTAATAACACCCCCCATTTCCTCCTCTTTACAGAATTTCCTGTTGCTTCCACGAATGTCTGCGCTGTTACATGCACACGTCTGTGGCACACCTAAATGGCTAAAGCAGAAATCCCTATGAAGTCCCAGTCTTGAGCCATTTTCACTTTGGTATTTATTTAGAAATGCAACTATCAGATTGACATAGCAGACTGTGCCAACCCTCTCTGTGTGTAGATTACCTGATTGCCTGTGCACAAATCAGCATGTTAATTTTCATCTGTTCTAATACCTTGCGTTAACATTTGTTTTAAACATGGATCGAAAGGACAGTGAAACCATGCCACTGACCTGCAAGTGGTCTCACAGCATCATGAGTCCTGACTTATTAGCTCCTTACCTGTGGTTGCTAAGCAATAGAGCAAGTGGACTACACTCTCCTAAGAGAGTTGCCTATAGAAGGGGAGCATAGATTCTGCAGCGTCTATTTATAATTTTTGAATGAAGCATGGTTCCGGGAAGTGCTTTCACACCCAGTCTCCATGAAATGCACTTACTTGTGGAGTGCTTTGAAGTGTGCATGCGTTTCTTAATATTTTCCCTGACAAAAACAGAAAGCTCAATTCCATGAGGTCATACCCTCCTGGCCTCTCTGGGCCATGCCTGTGAGCAACTCTGTGATAATTTGTGGAAATGCCTACAGGCCACAAGCACAATTAAAATAGCTATCCTGATTGACCTGTGTTTTGCCAAATCTGAAACAACTGTTACCTGCTCATCAGTAACCACTTTCAAGCCTTTTCACTTATTCTTATCCCTCCTCTCATCCTAGTTAGAAATCCTTACTTTTCCTTTGCTTTGTCTTTGCTTTCTGCCTGGATGTTTGTTCTTCCTAAGCTCTGCTGGGCTCCTTGTTAGCTACTATGCATATAGACAGCTGCGCACGTCTTTGCCCTACTGCTGCCCCCGAAGGCAGGGAGAAGATTTGCTGTCCGTCACCCCAGCACCCAGCTTCCTGTCCTCTTCTCATGTGTGTTTGTTTACTGCGTGAGGTCACTTACCTAGCAAGTGTCCCCATTTATTTGTGTCAGTCCCATGCAGCATCACAGAACACCCGGTGTGACAGTGACCTGAGCACCAGCAGCACTTCTCGTACTAAGACCTCACCTTTAAAAAAAATCTTTTATTTGGCTAACGTGTCATCACATTTGCTTTCCTCCGGGCTGCTCTTCGCCAGGGAACCTTCTGAGCCTTCTTCCTCATTCTGTTCTGCTGCAACTGATGTCTCTCACCAGCTCCACAAGCTCACATGATGGAGCCAGTACTGGTGATTTCAACTTCTACAAACACCCAACAACCCTGAAATAGTGTCACTCTCTGCCACAACTGCAATGAGACCACTACAATGTCATCCTCTTTCCGTGATTTTCTCAAAAAAATCTTTCCAGTTTCTCTCCTTACTCTTCAAAGCAAAACTACTTTCTATTTGCGTGTGTGTATGTGTGTGCGGATGTATGTGCTCACACATACACATGTGTGTGCTTCTTGTTTTAAGTCTTTCGATCCATTCTGTCAGTCTCAGAATAAAATGTAGATTCCTTACTGTGGCTTAAAAATCTTGGCATAATCTAGCTCCATTTCGGCTTTATGACACTCTTAAATGTCCTCTAGTTTCTCTTACCAAGCACTGTCTCTTCTTGTTCTGTTATAAATATTCTCTTAGATGAAAAGAACAGCACAGCCCTGCAGCTGCACTCTGGAAGGGCCTCTCTCTGGGGAGTCCGGCTGCCAGTGTCTCTTGCCTGTGTCTGATTTAAGCCCTTTCTTTACACAGTAGCCTCACTTTATCTTTCAGGGCCACAGCCCAAGACCCCAGTGCACGCCCCCATCTATGGATCATACCAAATCCTGTATAGACAGTAATACCTCAGTTCATGAACCCTTTGGTGCATAAACAATTCAGTCCTTGATAAAAACATTTAGCAAAATTTTGCTTCTGCTCACAAACTCCACATTGGGTGACATACACAACCCCAGCCATCTTCTCCATACAAACACATCTGTCTTCCCAAAACTCCTGAAACAAATTTCGAGAACTAAGGTAATCACTGTGCTCTCCTTCTCCCGGCACACGCATGCACCACTGCCCGTGAGAGTTAGAGTTGACTTGTCTGTCTGTCTTGCTTGGCTCCATGCCACCTTCACACTATTCTGCAGCTTCGGGGCCTTTGTGAAGTATGATGAGGCTTACTGAGACACAAGCTCTATGACATGACGACAGCCTGCTAACTGAGATGCTGTGAAGTGACTACTGGCTCCGGGCTATGGTGGACAAGGGTATATTTCCTGCCCTGTGCAGGACTGGGCAGAGGAGTGTTTCATTCACTGCTTAGAATAGAATACCAGTTAAAACTGACATATTGTTTTTTCCCTCTTCCATTTTCTACTTTTGAACTGAGTCTGACTGTGGGTAACAGAAAATATATAAAGGAAAACCCTGGGAAGAGGAGGCTGCTGTGACATTGTATTCTCTTTAGTTCTCTGCTGCAGCCTCAACATGCTGCATCGGAGTGTCCCTACACTAAACTGGTGGCTTCAGGAGGTCTCCAACTGCACCTCATCTGTCCAGGCCCAAACCCAAGGTTTAAAATGATACCTGCTACATGACAGGGCATAAAGATTTCTTGAATGAATGAGCAAACAATTATTCCAGAGAATAATTCAAGTTGTCAATTGGCACCTATGTGGCATGCAGGTTTGATCTTCATTGTAAGAGCTCAGCTGATGCAGTCTCACTGAGAGTTATCTCACAATACAGTTGTGTATTCTGGGGCTAAGAATAGATGCCAGGGCCTGGAGGAGGCTAGGCAACTGGTCTTCCATGGAGCTGCACTCCAGTCCCCTCCGCTCACATTTTTAATCAATATTTTTATTTTAATGTCTAAAATGTTATGTTGATGAGCAGGCTTTTTGCAATATAGAAATTAAATTATACTAACACACAGCATTTTGTGTTCCTGTTTTGAGGAACCATAGAAAAAATTCCTTCCATGTGTTAGTATTGACAATAGTGAAAATAAACCTTTTCTATAAAATGTTTTAGTCATTATAGAGTATTCTTAAATGGTAAACATTCAAATCATATCTCGTAAGAGCTGGATAAAACTAATATTGGTCAAGAGTCCTAGTGTCTTTTGGACCAAGACAAGATATTTTATACCTCAAAAGAAACTCAGACATATTTACATAAACTAGAGGGGGGCCGGGGAGATGGCTCAGTAGAATAAGTGCTTTCCTGGCAAGCACAAAGGCCTGAGTTCAATCCCCGGTTCCG